TCCCTGAAGAGGCGTATTGGCAGTAAACTCAGCCCAACAAAACAGTCTTGTGAAAAAGGGAAATATAACATGATCACTTCCTATTTCTTTCTCTATTCCTTTGCATCAAAGCTTGGGCTGGCTGTCAGGAATGTTCCAAATGAATAAATACAGCGCAGGAACCCCCCGCTTCAGAAGGAGTCTCATTCACTCACCATGAAGCTTGGCCAATTCTTTTTCTGACAGTACTCAAGTCAGCGGGCAGAGCAAGAAGCTCATTCAAAGCTAATCAGTAAAGTGTAAACCTATAATGAAAGCCCATTTACCCCTTGCCTCCTCCTTCCTCCAGAAAACCAATCCCCAAATCTGTGGGAATAACACATAACGTACATAAAAGTTGCTATTACTTAGATCCCCTGTTATTAGGTCAGCAATGCCACTGATGAAATGCTCCCCAGAGCACTGAGCAGCGGCAGATAAATCCTCTAAGAAATTCACGGCATAATTTGTTACAGCTAGAGGGCATAAGACACATTACAGCAAAGCCTGTGTATTAGGCTCTCCCCTGTGATTCTTGAGGCTATCTCCAGTAATAAAACCCTCATCCTGATTTCTCATCCTGATTTCTCATCCTTCGTATCGATTTCTGTCAGAGAAGACTTTTCTTGGACAAAGATACTACTGTATTTCTCTGCATAATAAGGGGATCCTTCTTTCCTCTTCTCCCCACCCCTATATTTATCTATTTATTTGCTTTTTAGGGATGACCCAAAGGAAGATTTGGAATATTTGGTAACTCTTGGTATACACAGTGGATAAAGAGTGGAGAAGGCTGTGATGATAGTTTTTGCATATGCATTGCAAAAACCTGAATGTGAAGTTAGAGAAAAATGTTTCTGGTCTACAATAGTACAGGAAATTGAAACTAAAACCCCAGCTATGCAATTGCTGTATTTTAATATGAAAATCTGTTATTAATGTAATGGATAAAATCTGTGGGAGTCAAGTGATTAAAATCCAGACTCAGATGTATATAATCACAGCAAAAGTTAATTTTGGAACATTTGTACTCCTGCTCTACAATTCATATAGCTACCTTGAAAAAAAGGGAGGCTTGGAGGTACACTGCCTAACGCTTTTTTAGAAAAACTTAAAAAAAATATAATCTTTCTTTACTAGTATGGTGGCGAGGGACAAGGCCAAATAGAAATCTAGAAAGCTTTATGTGAATAATTTGCAAGCCAAATAAGAACAGCTCCACAGAAGTCAATACAGATAAACAGAACAACGGATGGTTAAGGCTGCAAAATGCACAGTGTTATACCAAAAATGTTTTGTCTTCTCTGCAGTGGGATTGCTATAAGCAACTGGAACTTGCTCATTTAATCTACTCCTTCGGGTTTTGCTTTATTTTGTTCTTTTAGAGCCTATCTTCATTATAAGCTGTTTGGGGTCTTGAAATGACTGAAGATATGCCTGTTCCCTTGTGCAAAGAAAGTGGTAAATATTTATAGCAGTTCTTACAAGTAGAGAAATTTAATGTGTGCTCATTGCTTTTGTAATCTAATAGCAGCTGTTCTGAAAGACAATACCTGCTAATTGTATTTCCTATCACATCCTTTTCCAATTGAAGGATAAAATATGGAAGTTTCGGTTTATTTTTTTTTTAGTACATACAGCAAAATTTATTCAAAAGAATATTTGTTCCCCTTTAGCTATCTGTTTATTCAATAGACTATGGAAAATTGTAAACTCTGTCAAAAAGTCTAGTTAAAGAATAATTTATAAGCTACTTTTAGCTGTTGATCTCATAAACTGGCTTAGTGGAGAGCCAAAATATATCCTGGCAGGTAATAATTAATGTAAACCTTGACACTTCAGACTTGGCCCATGGTTCAGC